TGTGCGTTGTCTTCCTCTGCTCTTTTTTTCCACATATATTGCCACTCCATAACAGTTTCTCTAGTCCGCCAGCCCTGATTATATGGCCGAAAAATTTGAGCTGTCTTTCTCTGATGGTGTTGAGAAGGGATCTCTTGTATCTAGCCATGTCCATAACTTCTGCATTCGTTTTTTTTTCTGTCCATCCATGGGACTTTCCTGTGGGGCCAAAGAGTGTATTTATGTTGGGGGGTTTTCTGAACAAATATCTTTTCCAGCTCCCTGCGATTCCCAACCTTGCTTAAAAGGAGGGACGTGCACTGAAGTTGGTGACAATTTCCAGTGCGTTTGTCCTGATCATTTTGGGGGAGACACTTGCAACACAGGTACGTTTAGTTCATGGCTGTGTAAATATCATACCCCGTCATACCTGATGGGGCCCTTTTCATAAAAGATCTTTGGATCTATGGTTTTTCGAAATTTGTTCACTAAAATATATGTAATATTATGACTCAAACCATTTAATCCCGCGGGCCTTAACGTGACAGGAAATGTTTTGAATTATATATGTTCTCAGCCACCTACTTTTTAAATGTTTGCAGAAATGCACGACCACAAAAGGGTAAGTTACACACGTATAAGCTAAAGATGAATATATTATTTAAATCTAAGATTTTATGTTATTTTATATGTATCCAACTCACGATATATAATTTGGTGTTTTACAATATATACTGTATATTTTTTTCATGGTGATTTTTATGGTGATTAGTGGGGCACTGGGCCAATATGGGGTAATGAGCAGCAAGGTGAGGATTTTTTTCACGGTACATTTTTAATAAAATAATTGAAGGAGATGTAATTATAGAAAAATCTTAAAATAAAATTGCTACATTTAGCATTTTTTAAACCTATTTATATATTCTAATGATGTGATGTAGGTGTGTTTAGGTATTTCTTCCGAATGCTGAGTATGGTGGGATAATAATCTTGAGGAAAGGGAAGCCTTAGCTTCATCCCTAATATGGCCAATGGACCGGAGGTCAAGCGAATCTTTAGGCTTACTTCTTTCCTGGACTATAGAATTGAAACTGAGAGAGTGAACAGTGAAGTGTAAACAAAGCAGAAAATTGGCTGCCGGGGATGACTTAGACTCGCTGCTGTGTTCAGATCAACTCCGCGTTTACCAGATATTAATCTGTTCTGTGATCTGTTCTTAGGCGTTCAGACATGCACATATTGTGACAAACAAAAAAACACTTGAAAGCTAATAAATCACCAGTGTTATACATAATAAATAATTCAAGTTATCAAAAATAATGACATTCTGTTAATCAAAACATTTAACAAACAAAGTGCAATCATATGCAGGACTTGGATTAAAACCAGAGCAAGGGACAGTTCGTTCGAACCCCCCGTACCTCCCCTGGCTAGGGGCCTGCAGCAACCATGTTTACTCACATCGACTTGGGGACCAAATCTCTTTTTGTGTCGATCAAAAGCAACAATTCAGTCGTCCTACTTACATGTGGGAAGCATTTGTAATTATTACCGTTATCTTAATTTGTTTTGCGGCTCTTACTCCCCCCCCCCTCCCTCCAAGTAAGCTCGAGGGCCCCTGCCCCAAGGCGCATATCACCAGCTTTATTTCTGGCATATAAGTGCAGAGGGCCCAAGTGGTGTAAGGGATATGTTCTCCATAATCTTTGCTGATTTCACATGTTCCATTTATTTAAAAAAACATCTCAATTTTTTTTTGGGAAATATCTTCTTTCGTTTTATATAGCGTAAATGGTGATTACGTTACATCTTTTAGTTTCTTTTTTAGTCGCGCCTCACACGACTTCCATTCAAGACACAATAAAAGGTGAAAAAGAAATATTTACAGACAACTTGAGTTTTACCACTGCATTGCCCACAGTTCATTATTACTCTTTTGACGACAACCTGGCGTTACACCTCTTCAAAGCTAGGGTTTGATATCAAATTTGTTATATTATGTTGTATTATATGTTATATTTTGTAAGAATGAAGAGGTAGAGCGTACTTTATTTGGTTGCGACAGATGCGCCCAACCTTTGAGTAATGTGTTGTTGTATTTGAAACCAACATGCAACAACTGAACTTGTTCACATCAGATCAGCAGACTGCAAGAACACTTGTTCTTTGTTCAAAACAGAGAGTATGTGTGTGTGTGTGTGTGTGTGTGTGTGTGTGTGTGTGTGTGTTTGTGTGTGTGAGTGCGGGCGTTTGTGCGTTCGAGCGCGTAGGTGTCTGGAAGGTTGATGCTAGGCTGACACCTTGATCAGTTAAAGAATCCAAAAACCAATTCATAATACAGAACCTCCGACTAGGCGAGTTCATCATTAAAAATAAAGAGTTCGATAAATAAATAAATAAGTAATGATCAAATAATATATAAAAAGAGGATATGGTGACTACTAAAAAGCTATTTAAATGAAATAAACTGTTAACAACGATATACAGAACCACCTCCTCCAGCTATGGGAGTGCGTAGGCTCCCTGGGGAGAGGCTGTTAACTGAAAATATTCAGGAAACAATAGCTGGAGGAGGTGATTCTGTACATGTTTGGGGTGCCATTTGCAGCAACGGTATTTGCCCATTGCTTCCTCTGGATGAAAACCTTAATGCTGCCAGATACAGAGACATTCTCCAGCAGAACCTGGAGCCGTTCGCAAGAGGGATATACAGAGACAATTTTAGATTGCAACATAACAATCAACTCCTCACACAGCCCGCTAAATTGCAGACTATATCCGACAAAACAACATTCAGTCGATGCCACAGCCAGCAAGAAGTCCAGATGCAAACCCAATTGAGCACATGTGGGACGAACTTGGTCGTGCTATTCAGAGGAGAAACCCTCCCCCTACAAATCTAGATGAACTGCGAGATGCCCTGACCAGATTTCCTCTCCAAAGAGCTGTAACTCTAGTATGCCACGCCGTCTGGCGGCCATTATCCAAGCTCGGGGTGGGCATACCCGCTATTTAGATTAATAATGAACTCTGAAGATGTTTCATGACAATTTCCCCTAATTTCATATTAATTGTCAATCACAGTATAAATTTATGTTTAATTTTTCACTTGGTACTGTTACGTAAAAAAGTACTCTTTTTGGGGGCATGAGAAAAAAAACCTAAATAAATTAACACTTTTTTCACATTTGCATTGGTTGTTTCTCCTTGACTCTACCAATCCTCCAGCTTCACATATTGAACAATATAAACAGTATTAATTTTATAATATCAATTATAATGAAAGAATCAGGGCGATATGCATCCCAACATTTCGGTGTACCAACCATTTTTGGGCAAGAGTGTATAAAAAAATAAATACATACTGTAGTTAATCATAAAGCAATTAAGTGAGCAACACACACACACACACACACACACACACTCTTTTGGGATCACTTTTACTTCCTCTGAGGAACAGCGATTGACTTTCGTCAATCAAATAGAACTGCTGCGCAGTGAATCTGCAGTTGAATGTCATTACACCAAAATGAAACGTAAAACAGATTTAAATGTGCTTTATTTAATTTTATTTCCTGTGTATAAGATGTAAATTTAAAAGTATATAATGTATTTTAAAAGAAAAAGATAAACCAGATGTTTGTTTGTATTTTTTGCTTATCAAAAAACACTTGCTCCTGCACACAATACACGTGCTTGCCGTGTGCCAAGTTTGGCAGCTACACTCAGCTTCACAGTATGGCCCGATACCACTATAAGGGCTGCGCAATGGCTACACCAAAATCAGTTTTTAATTCAGAATGTTGCTTGTATTGTGGCACTGACCTCGACTACAAGTTATTCTTAATTCAAACTTCTAACTCCGCGTCAGCCACTTTGCTTCTTGTCTCGTTTGCACTAGATAACGTCAGCGCAAGGCGGGAAAGGCAGCTCCAGGCGGCCAAACCTGTGACGTACGAGACTTATGACTTCCAAATATGGAGCTCAGGCGGACACAGCTGTGACGTACGACACATGTGACTTCCAAATGTGGAAGCGCCCTAGGCAGATTTTTTTGAAGAACACCCACAGCTTGACGGTGTTCGCTAGAGCCTGGTATTACTGATATGGGTTATATATGAAATCAAGAACGAGCTGGCAATACTGGAATCTAGAATCTAGGGTACCCAAACTGTGTGTGGTAGAGTTTTGGCTATATACATGAATCACGTTATACATTTTTCCTGTTGTCATATTGACATGCTTTAAGACCACGGGGTGCGCTATATATATAGTTAGAGGTCTGTTACAAAAATGGTGAAAGATTTCGTATATAGTATTTTAGTGGGACCCTGATCAGAGGGTTATATGTCTTCACATAGGGCCTCTTGTTTAAAACGTACTCTTATAATCACCAGCTTTTCTGTATTTTCCTCAACGGCAGGAGTACGGGGTTTGAAGGAGGCGCGTTAAGCTGTTGATCTCATTGCAGTCAACGAGAATCCCTGTGAGGTTTGATCGATTTACGTAGAGTGATAGTTTCATTGGAAATGAGCCTTTGGAATTTAAATATTGGGCGTTTTCTGCTTCGCCTTGTCCCTATCACCAAGTTATGAGAAATGTATGTGGTACAAGTGTCGGCTTTAAGTGGCAGCAATGATGCAAGATTTCTGCAGGGCAAATTTATGTAAAATGCCATATTACTGAATGACAGTCTGGCATGTGCCATCATACAATTTTCAATATGACAGTCTGGCATGTGCCATCATACAATTTTCAATATGCAGTAGCAAATGTATATGAATCATAAATAAAGCCTCTGTATTGGAGAGTAACAGCTGGCCCGGGGTCACAAATACCTAGTCGAAATGTCAGCATTGCTCATCTTTTATATATTATTTTTCAACTGTTACTGAACATTCTTCCGGATGTAAGATTTCGTTTAAGAATCAGTAACATAACATTTGCATAAGGCAATGGTATATACAGCCAACAGATATGTTTTATATTGAGCATGATTGTGATTGGATAGTTTCTCCTGTGTCCCGCCTATCACCATGGAGATCTCGACAGTGACAGCTCTAGTGTATATGTGGATGAAGCCTGTCCTTGGGTGTCTCATTGCTGGATCAGGCTTCAGTACGAAAAAACAAGGTAAGATCATCGTGACAGTTGTTTTCATAAGAAAAATCAGTGATGTCGCTTTAAAAAACTATTTTGCTTCAGACCTGTGCACTTAGCTACGTATGTGCAAAAGCATTCGCCAGAATGAATAGGTATTATTCAAGGTACAGGTATAAACTTTGTAAGTTGGGGATTTGCGGAAATTTCATGAATTCCCTTCAGGCCTTATATAGAAAAACAATTAGTCAACGTAAATAACCTATTGTGTAGATTAGTGCATATAAATATGGACAATAGCAGGTTATCTAAAAAGTTTTTCTTATCGAGTTTAAATATCTAAATATGGTAAAAGAATTGGATAACCAGAGTTAGAAGTAAATTTGATAACCTTGGAGTTCAACTGATTTGTCTTCAGCCGACTTTCTTATATGTAAGGCTTACGCAATAAACTGTGTTAACAGGGTCGGATCCTGGATAATTTGGAGTGGGGGGGTCCGTTTTTATAGGAATGACAGGCAGCGGATGCGAAACCGACCCCCTTGCCGTCGGGTTCGGGGCCCGATGAAAGAGCCCCAAAAATGTTGGAATTGTAGAGGGCAAATGGTGCCATTTGATCAGGTTTAGAACCATGATTTAGCTAGTCAAAATTCTAATTTCAAGAGGGGACCATTGATGTGATTTTTTTTTCGGAAAACGGAGGGGGACAGGACTGCCCCTGACACCCCCTAAATCCGCCACTTGCTTAAGGTGTGTGCTGCTGCAGAACACCGCTCTGACTGGTTTGCTAAGTTATGGGACGACACTCCCTGTAGTAATGGTGGGGTAAATAAACTAAGATTGTTTAGATTATTTAAAGAATATCTAAAAGTACATTTAAGTAGTTATGTTAAAAAACAATCGTTGTCGACTAAACGTTTCAGTGCACTTGCTAAGGTGAGGTGTTCGAATAAAAACGGGTCGATATGAAAAACTAGCTATTGTGGAAAGAACCTGTCCATTATGTGATAAGGGGATTGCAGACAAGGTTCACTTTTTAGTTAACTGTCACTTTTTACTGATAAACGTGGTGAAAATTTTAATATGGCCAGACGTTTTAATAACAATTTTGTTTTCTTAAATGATAACGACAAGTTCTTATTTTTGATAATTAGTGATAATATGATGAATTTCGATGCCAAAACCTGCTGCCGATTTCTAGAATTAAGAAAAAACTAATTTATGAATTATGTTTTCAAGAATATTTTAAGTAATATTCAGTAAATCATAGTTCTATATAGAACATTCTAAATTAACTGAAAGTCAATGTTTATTTCGTTAAATTATGTAATTTATACCTTTGGCGTCATACCAGAGCCTAAAACGATTTCCATATCCCTTACTCCAAAATTTCAACTCAGATTTGAATCACATACAATACTCATAGTTAAATTGCAATTTCAAAGTAAAGAGATTTCGCTGGAAGCATTGGTTTTCAGATGAGCTGAATAAGTGATGTCGTTTTTACAATTTTTTTTTTTTTTTTTGCGCTTCCTAACTTGTTGATGTAAAAAGTCAAACTGCGTTTGTTTTATAAAATCATATTTCGTTCTAGCACAGAAACACAGACCGTTGATTCTAAAATCAGTCAATATAGTGATGGGATTGATGTTCAACCCGCACCTTGTTCTGGCTTTGATGACGTGGACATTCCTCTGTCCCTCACAGTGTAATGGCGCACAGGGTAAGTATTTGACTCAAGCGGCATAAAATATTAACGGTTTTTATATGACATTTAGCTACCAAGAGAAAAAGTCTATATAGTGGGTGTTCCAGTTTGATATGAATTAATTAGAAGAATCTTTGGGGCACTTAACCCAGTACTTTGGAGCTGTTAACTGTCAGTAAAGTCAGCTGTAGAGTCTTTATTCTGCAGATTATTACTAAAGGAGGTGGGGAAGTTTGGGATCTACAATTGTACTTTAAATATAATTGTCTTAAATCCGCGCTACACATACATCGTAGCGCTGTTTACGAATAAATTCTATAATCGTAAAACATAAATTAAAAATAATATAAGAGCTTTTAAAAAAGCTAGAAGATACATAAATTAAACAAATTATTCTTTAAATAAAGAGATTAAAACAGATTTATTTCTAGAATTATCCTCCTTTTTTATATAATCTTGTGTGAAAATTATAATTTTTAAACATGCATTCATAAATAATACTAAAATGAAACAAAAACCTAGAAGAGCATCATCTTAAATAACGCTTATTCTCGGCGCTTAGGATTAAAAGCAATTTCTCGGCCATTGAAGGAGAATAGAGTAAAAAATAATGGCATATTAGCGATGACCGTCATAAGCAATAAACATTGACAAAATTTATGCATGGGCATTTATTAGCTGTTTTCTCTGAAGCCATGTCGAGGAACATTTTTCTGCACAACAGTTCTAATTCGCCATGTTGTGGAGACCTAGACAAACCATCAGAGATCAGCATGCGCAGGCTGGCTATGAACAGCTTGAACAGTCTCGGCCTGTGCATCCCTGGTCTCAGTTTTAAAAAATTGGTCAGTTTCTAGTGGTCAATGTCTTCGTACCAATGTTACCACTATCAGGAACAGTGTCACACAACTCTTATGGACATCCTAGCCAGCTAAGCCAAGAAAACTGACTTATTATTATTTGTTTTATTCAATTATTATTATTATTATTATTATTATTATTATTATTATTAAAATTTAAAGTTTTTTTAATTACTAACCAAATATATTTGGTTTACTATGACCCAAGATAAACCTGTAGTACTGAAAACGAAACTGAATATTCCGCGTTTACAATCTTTTCGACTTTTGTTTTAGTGGCCATTTTCACATTTATCTCGACTTGAAAAAGAACACAGTTATGTACCCTAAACACTACTTAAATCATATATAGGCCTATGTGTTTACCTCTTGGAAAATAATGCGAATATTTGACTCTAGAAACATGTATACAAGCACGATTCTACGGCACAAGTTGATTGCGACCGATTGTTGCCTTAATCATCAGAGATTAACTCACTTATTTCAAATGGTGAAATAAGAATATTACTATGCGTCATATAATGACGCTATTCAGGTCGAATAAAAGTGAATATCTATTTGGATCTGAATTATAAACCTACTTTAAAATACTTTCAGTGCCTTGTGCGGAAAATGGAAAATGCGTTGTGGAGAAAAAAGGCGTGATAGAGGACAGGCTTCATAATAACGATAATTGCAATACAGCATTTGGACAATATTGTGTTTGTGAAGATGGCTACGAAGGAGATGGATATACCAGCTGCACTGGTAAGTAAGAAAAGGTCCAATGTCCAGTTGATGATAATAACGTAACGTGTAACTCCAGTGGAACTACCACTCCCACCTCCACTTAGTTTCTGACTACTGTTTTATTCTGCCAAAGTCCAGTTGCCCCGTTTGTAGCTTAAATTACAGGTCCACAAATGCCAGTCAATGCCTTTTGGGTAAGAAGATAGTTACTCAAACATTTCATTCTCAGTGCCCGACCTTTTTTATTCCGAGAAGACAATACAATGAAACAGAAGGTAAATGCACAAACATGCCATACAATACAATGGACTGCATTAAAATCACAATTCTATATATATATCTAACTATAGATATTTTGCGAAATCGACCACAGAGCTTAAAGTGCGCTTATATGTCAAGACAGAGCATTCCATGTTTTCTTTCAGATATCAACGAGTGCGACGCCAACCTTTGTTTGAATAACGCCACCTGCGAAAATCGCCCAGGCAGTTTTAAGTGTTACTGCCCTGGAGATATATGGGGATCCACTTGCAACAAAGGTATGCTGTAGCTGTTTAAAAGTGTATACCTGATCATGGGGCCTGTTAACTGTAAAATCAGTTTTAACTTGAAGACCAAGTGTGTGGCTTACTCTGACCCATGATAATTTGATAGTGCTCAAACGAAATAAAGTATTGCGTCTGATTTCTTACAAGAAATAAATGGCTTCTTTTTTAGACCAATAATCATTTTGTAGACCCCTGTGCATTTTTCCTTCATTAAAATGCATCATACGTGGTTCCTGGCCACTGGTAAAACCTGAGGTCGCAATAGACCCGTTAAGAACGAGGTCGCAATAGCTACTGCTCACTAACTCTGAGGGCACTCTCGATTAAAGCAATCAGATTAACAAACTAACACGCCTACTCCTGTAGTCAACGTATTCGTATTATCACCAGATTCTCTAAGGCTACATTCAGAATAGGGGACTAACTAGTCCGAGGGTCAAATATGGCCGACCCACTTGAATACTTCCCCACGGGATATGTTTTCAGTGTCTTTTAGCGGATCAGACGGCAAGCTTTGTTTTGGTTAGTCTGAGTTCTGAATGGGTCCTATGTTTAATGTACTCAACACCAAGAGACGACGCATGACACTATTTACAAGCACAAAGTTAAGCCAGTAAGTAACTGATAATGAGATGATCTTGTATGGAAGACAACAAACGTGTGTCCAAATTTACCTCGTCTACTTATAAGTCAGCGGCGGATATCTGTTTTGATCAGTGTTGAATAATTATAACAAAACTATTTTAGTGGGAAAATGTAAAAGCAGGAAGTCACTTATACCCGATATCTTTTAAGATAAATGTGAATGTTCATATTCCGATATTCCACAGGTTAAAAGAATTCTGCTAACAGATTTTTCTTATCATTTGCTTTTACTGGAATCTTGATTTGAATGCCATATCGAGAAGGGGCCTAACGCCTATCTCTTGGGATAAAAGTTAAAATGAGACATCACGAAACAATTTTGCCCTTTAAGAATTAATGTGAGCTAACATTTGACTCTAGCTGATATTGATGTTTGCTAATCTACACGTTGAAATCGGTTGAATATGTCCCATCAACAATGAAGGCCTGAAATGTCTCACGTTTTTCAAATGTTTCAATGATATACATTCAAGTGTGTTATTTAATGACTCAAGTCTGGTTGATTATAATATTTAAAGCTACACATTAAATTATAATCTTGTTTTCAGTGCCGTGTGCGACAAATGGGAAATGCGTTGTGCAAAAAAAGTGGGGAATAGAGGACAGGCTTCATAATAACGATGGATGCAACCAGGAATATGGACAATATTGTGTTTGTCTTGACGGCTTCGAAGGGGACGGATATACCAGTTGCATTAGTAAGTAAAAAAGTAAAAAGAAAAAAAAATAAAAAAAGGTCCGGTGTACACAGCAACTAATTTAAAAGACAGTTTTATAGAAAATAAGCCCAATTTCTACCTTCAAGCTACTTAACGCATTCTCCTTTAAAATTCCTGTATTTCTGTTTGTATTATGTAAAAAAATACCAAAAGAGACAATTCATATCTAACCACCTCATTATAAAAAATAATGACCAATTCCAAGCTAAAATACCCAGTTGTCCAAACTTCCTTCGCGCATTGACGTCACAACTTCCGGGACAATTTAGTATAATCGGTATCATATCCAGAATGTTTCAAAATATTCTTTTTATTGAGAAATTTAGGAACTAAATTAAATTAAATTAAATGTTCGTCTGATTTGACCGAAGATTAATCAGTTATGGTCCAATGAATAAACAGCTATCAATATCTGATTGAGGCTCCTTAAGTCTTTGGAATTGCGGACCCTAGGATCAGCGCACCCTCGGGTTATAGGGATTTCTGTGAGTTAAAAAAAAACGTGAATGTATAAAACATAAAATTGACATATTTTCATTTTTTTCTAGGCTCCACCTAATCAACTCCCACATGAAGAATAAAAGGAAGTAATCTATCTGCAAATGAGAACAGATAATCCAAAAAAACATAGAAAGAAAACAACTTTATCCGCGGACGAGTTAAATTACATTGGCATTTGCTGCATCCACCCAATTCGTGAAGATGACAATATAGTTCAAGGACGATATAAATTACATTGGCATTTACTGTATCCACCCAATTAATGAAGATTACAATAAAGTATTTTCGGCTCTGCATACAGTGTTTTCAGTGTGGTCTTAAAACGTCTCATCATTCTCACTCTTATGACATTGAAGAGTTACATGTATGGACCTCTGCTCTCGACACATCAAATTAATTTAACATGCATATTAAGCGAGTGCTAATGATTGACACTGATCTAAACCAAATATCACTACACGTATAATGTTTCAAATATTTTTCCCCGAAGAAATATTGCAGATTTTTGTTGAATTATGACCTGAAATTGATGTTTGCACAAATACTGGTATTTTCTGCTTACCTCCTGTGCTTTACATTATGCAGGGGAAAAAAAAAGTAGGTCGTATTTTGGTTTCAAGCAATCTTTGACCCCATATAGTATATAAGGTACATGTCCCGTGATATCGTTTCAAACCATTTCCATTCTCGAAAGTGTAAATTCTATTTTTTGCTTTTGTTTAAAAAAAAATCTAAAATAATAAATAATGAAGGCCGTTAACCACACGAAATTTTTTCTAAGTCGTCAGTAAAAAGCACACACACACAAACACACACACAGACCTTGCACACACACACACACACACACACACACACACACACAGATCT